TTTTTATAGATAATATTGGTTTTATGGATAATGCCTATTAGATTTTCGAGCATCTAAAACAAACTTGGAAAATTTAGAATTTCATCTATCGATATTCATGTATCCATTCGCTGTTCAGGGCACTTATATTGTGGAGATTCTTGAGAGCGTACTCATTTGACGGCTTCTAGGCTTGCTACACGTGTCATGTTGATAAATCACAAGATAATCAATATTATCATACTAACGTATTGTGAAACGTATGTAATGTATTTTCAAATAATAGCTTATTTCTTTTTATTTCTTTGTTGCAATTCATTCGTCACATTTTTGAAGCCAAATAAGCATATGGGATTTATGTTCCACAGACCCAAATTTATTATTTTATTTCATACAATAAAATAATTAATTTGGGCCTGTGAAACACAAACAAACCATTAGAAATAATATTTTTGTCTTTGTAACATTTTGATAAACTTAATAATACAAAGATAGAAATAGATAAAAAAGATCTTTTAGATAATCAGTTTACATTACCGTGTCAGAAATTTATTTATTAAACTATCCAGAAAATAGTTTCCCCCAAGAGTTTTACAAAATTTCCGATTGCAGTTCGGTTCCTAGTCTTGGTTTGAGCGTGAGCCAAATTGTGTAAGGCATCAAGACAACGCAGCGTGGTGTTTTAAATAATTGCTTTGCTACATTTGATTTATCTTTCCTTCTGTTATGAAACTGATGTTCTTAGCACTACTATCGAATTCAATAAATACATCCGTCCACATTTCCTTTACATATATATATATCATATACATCTTATATATATATATATATATAAGATGCCCAAATTTACACAGGAGGTCCAGACTCGGCAGTATAATAATAATAATAATAATAATAATAAAATATCTTTATTCACATAGACGCTTGCGCGTTCTTATGAAACGTCAAAATTTTACAAGAAATTAACACGTTCGTAAGTTACCACCGGTTCGGAAAGCAGTTTCTGTTGAGAAGAAACCGGCAAGAAACTCAACAGTTGGTTTTTTAAAAAAATCAGTTTACAATATAATAGTACAGGTACAATAGTCTTGTTTTAGCCTACGTGAGTATCAACAGTATTAACCCCACACATTGGCGTCGTCAAGATATTCGGCAATAGTATAATAGGCTTTAGCCATAAGTGTACTTTTAATTTTTCGTTTAAATTCATCAAGTGGCAGACTTAACATCAACTGTGGAATTTTATTATACATGCGCACACTTTGCCCCATGAACGATCTGTTTACTTTTTGTAGGCGAAATAATGGCGTAGTTAGTTTGTCCTTATTTCTAGTATTTAGTTTATGTCTGTCACTATTCTTTTGATAATTATTAATAACTGTTTAACATACAAAATATTACAATAAATATATTGAGACGCAACAGTGAGTATATTAATCTCTTTAAAAAGATCTCTGAGTGTATTCCGGGCTCCGATGTTATAAATTGCTCGGACAGCTCTTTTTTGAAGAATAAATATTGAATTTATATCAGATGCAGTACCCCACAACAAAATGCCGTACGACAAGATGCTGTGAAAATAACTGTAGTAAACAAGTCTGGCAGTGTCGATGTCTGATAGCTGCCTAACCTTCCTAATTGCAAAAACAGTGGAGCTTAACCTATTCGCAAGAGATGATAGATGGGGACTCCATTGGAGCTTTGAATCTACTGAGATTCCCAAGAATACAGCGGACTCAACGGGATTAAGGGTTACGCTATTCAATTTTAAGCTAAAAACTTTGCCTTCTTACGTTGGGAAGGGCAAAAAGAAGGCATTTAGTTTTTTTAGCATTTAACACCATATTATTAATGGTAAACCAGTGGAGGATACGCGAAAGTGCACTATTCACGTCGTCATAATTCGATACATTTCGGTCAACCTTAAAAATAAGTGATGTGTCGTCAGCAAACAGTACAACATCACATAACTCACTGGCATAGAAGGGGAGATCATTTATATATACTAAGAATAATAATGAGCCCAAGATCGATCCTTGTGGGACACCCATTTTCATGGGGGACCCTGCGGAATTTACATCATTTATAGATACTTTTTGAATTCTATTATTAAGGTAAGAATCAATGAGATTGAGGGCGATGTCACGAATGCCATAATAATCAAGCTTTAGAAGGAGGGTTTTGTGATCCACGCAGTCGAAAGCTTTTGAAAGGTCGCAAAAAACACCTATTGCATCTTGCGACCCTTCCCAGGCGTTATAAATATGTTTGACAAGTGCGATACCCGCATCTGTTGTCGATCTGCCTTTAGTGAATCCATATTGCTCATTGTGAAAAATTTTGTTCATATTAAAATGTACTAAGAGCTGATTTAAAATTAGTTTTTCAAAAATTTTACTCAGAGATGGCAATATGGAGATAGGTCTGTAGTTTCCTGGATCATTTTTATCCCCACTTTTGAAGACGGGGATTATCTTACTAAATTTCATAAGATCTGGAAATATTCCTGAATCTATGCAGTTGTTAAAAATATTAGCTAAATGTGGTGCAATATATGGCATTATTGTGGTCATTAATTTTATGGACATGCCCCATAAATCCCCTGTATTCTTAAGATTAATAGAATTCAAAACTTTTATAATATCATAAGTATCTACGTGATTAAATTTAAATGTGTGTGGACAAAAGGTAACATTATTTCTTAGAACGTTAATTGCATCTATGGGAGATGATTTTAATGTACATGTGACATTAACTGCAATTTCTGAAAAATAGCTTTCAAAACTACTTGCAATTTCATTATCTGATGTTATGGGAGTATTACCTATAACCAGTTTTATAGGTTCCCTGAATATCTTGGGTCTTCCAGATATACGGGTAATGATGTCCCATGTGGCTTTAATTTTATTGTTTGAATTTATTATTCTATTTCTTATATGAATAGATTTTGCCTGAATTCAGACTTTTTTAAATATTTTTGAGAACATTTGTACCCTTTTATGAAAGTTGGGGTCATGATTCCACTGCCTCATATTATATAATTCATACAGTGAATCCCTACTTTTATATATACCCACTGTTGCCCAGTCACTAAATTTTAATTTTGAATTTTTAACAATTGTGCGCGATTTAAATATATCATTATAAGAAGATATGAGAAAGTCAACCATTGATTTATAAGAATCATTAGGATTATTGACTTCTATATCTTTATTTAACATATGATGTGCCACTTTGTCTTTAAAAGAATTTATTCTATTATTAGTGACTGGTCTACACTTGATCTTATGTTTGCTTGTAATAACTTTTTCATTTATTGAAAATTTTAAACCAAAGTGGTCAGAGCTCAGATAATTTATAACATATTTATCATATACATTATCGTGGCAGAAAACGTTATCTATACATGTGGAGGATGAGTTAGTGGCACGAGTTGGTTTATGAAAAAGATTATTAAGTTTAAATGAACTAAATAAATTTAAAAGTCGTTTACTAAGGTGTGTCACTTGTAATAAATAATGTAAGTATAATGTTTATAAAGATAAAAGCAAACTTCTTTTTTCAAAAAAATTGCAATTCTATTCCCTAAAAATCAGAACTAGTTGAACATTCATAAATGCGTTGTATACTTATCATGTTATGCTAATATGATATGCCTGTTAGTTATGAATGATCGCGCGTAAATAAGTTGCCCATAAATCACACACTTTTTGAGACCACAGTTAATGTGAATTAAATATCTTTGTATAGTGTTATTAAAGGTTAAATGTAATTTAGTATTCTTACGAAATATTCAAAATTCTTACGTATAAACTGAATAACAAATAATAAAATGTAGGAGATTAGATTTATTTTTATTAGATTTATTTTTTATTTATATTATGAAATATTTTTTTTTAATGGGAAATATTTTTTTATGTGGGAATTTAGTGACGGAAAATACGTAACTTACGAACAATGCTTTAATCCATTAGGATTTAGGGATTGGTACATTAACACCAACCTACCAATTAAATTTTAGTACACGAGACAGATCCTGTCTCGAGATAATACTACTGTGATAATAACAAACATTTCAATTTTAAATTAATGTTGTGCATTTCAAAATAATGCTAGACAGTTATTTCAATGCAACACACAAACGCACAAGCGACTCGAATTAACTTCTCTGGAATATATCCGGAGTTCAAGGTCCAATACCAAAAAGTTAATATAGGTCATGGGAGGTAAATCAAACCCAATGCAAAAATAATAATTTTTAAAAACGGATCATAAATGATAGAGTTCCAAGGTAAAAAATACAATCGGATTGAGAACCTTGTTTTAGGGTTCTGTACCCAAAGGATATAACGGGACCCTATTACTAACGGTTGAATGAGAGAATAATTGTGTTCTAATGTATGTACTGTAGGTACATTCCGATTTTAACTTTTTCGTAGAGAAATATGCATATATTTATTAATTGCTTTTAGTAAGCATGAAATAACTAGTGACTAGGTGTATTTATAATCTCCACGTCACTGGGTATTAAATGGCCCGTCATATACTTAGAATCCGTTTATCCTAATAATCTTTATATAAAAGTCTCTACTAACTGATACTGCATTGTCTTTTAATAAATGTTTTAAAGTCGATTAAAGTTATTTTTATCAAAATTTTATCTCATTATTATGTGTGCAGTCAATAAGTAAAGTTTTATCATTTAATTTTTGAATTCTGAGCCTTAAAATAATCTGAGAAATTGTTATTGTATTATATTATATATAGATAACAATCTGCATATAATAAAATTGACAATGAAATTACACTAAAACTGGAGTAAGTTTCAAAGAAATTAATAATTTTAAAATGAGACTATTTTAATAACTTTTGATTATTTGTTCCGTTAGACCAATAAAAACAAATCATATACGAGTATGTACATGTTCATTAAGGTTCATTTGGAATCTCTCTATCTGATTTAAATTTATCCCATCAATGAACAAAAATCGATTTAAAATATTTTATTGAGTATATTGTCAGATATCAATTTCATTAAAAGGCTTCATAATAATCTGAAACGATCATAACAATCGCATCAGGAAATCATGAATTAAATTGCAAACTAATAACATTATGCGATGCTCGAATTAAGTGTTAACCGCAGCCGGAATGGCATTTAATTTTAATCTATCGACTGGTACGAGAAAAAGTGATATTCGTCGGGCCTTAAACATTTAGTAGACTAACGCATCTTGTAGAAAAGCGGAAAGAGGCTGGGTGCTAACCTAATTGTGTTGCTATAGGGGACTCGGAGCGCTTGTAATGTCCATATCTCGTGATTTCTGCCCGCCTGGTACTATTTGGCATTGACTTGAGATATCCGAGTTGCCTCCCTTGAGAGAGACACATACATACAAACAATCTCTTTTATTTCGTGAAAAATGTTTAGACATACTTTTTACATGAGACTAATTAGATTTGTACATGAATTCATTAAGAAGAGGACAGAAAAGTACTTAACAACTTTTTATTAACTTTTAATTAAAAACACAAATTAAGCTGTGTAAATGTTTTATGAAAAGGGTTCTATTTAAATATTTATTTGAATAAAATGAATTCAATTTTTAAAGCCTTAATTACGCAAAATTTTAACTACGCTTTACGGCAAAAATTTTGAATAGTAATCTCTTTACTGTCTAGGGGAAAATTCAACAAATAAGTTATTTCACAAATTATTATGTATTTAATTACATTTTTTAAACAAATGTTCTATTTGAATTTAACAAAGAAATGATAATCAACCTAAAAAATGCATAAGGTATAAAATATTGAAAAGAAATTATATTTTTAAAGACTACAATTACATTAAAATAAAAATTTTCATTAACTTTACATATAAAATTTTTACGACAGAATGTACAAAAATCTATAATATAATGAAGTTTTCTTAGTAAACGGTACGTTTTATTGTCACATTATGTCTTGTTTTGATTTAAATTTATTTATTTATTGATTTATTACAATTTTATAATCAATATGTGCTGCAGTCCTGGTGTTAAAATGCTTCCGGCACTGAGGTAGTTACAAATCGAAAGAGAGAGTCGGGACACCAAAACCCGCTTTCCCACATTCCGAAGATAAAAGGGAAAACCGCTTTAACATTACTCGTGGATCGAGAGGGATAGAAATAAGGAACAGTTGGGGTGTGAGCGTGTGAAAGATATGTTGTAAGGGTGGCTTACCTCCTCGGCGTTGCTGGCAGCCTGGTAGCTCGTTACAGATCGCGTAACGTTCCCGGTATGAACAGCGGGCGCAGAGAACGAGTTGTTGCGTCGGCTCGACGGCGCGGACTGCAATTGCATCGCATATCGCAAGGGGTGGTGCACTGTGCAAGCGAGACTGCAGCGCCCGCCCATTCGCCTCGTGCCTCACTTTCCCGCCCTACTGTTCTTGAAAACTTGAAGCACTTAACAGGTGGTGCGATGCGTTAATTACACTATTCAATTAGGGTTACATGACACTATTTGTTCGCCTCCCCATCTAACTATTCAAGCGTCGGTGACGAAAGTCGCGTATTGAGAACGACGCGGCTTCATTAAACCGCGATAGGTATCAAGATGAGTGATCACTCCGTATGAAGTCGCTAGTATCTGGACGGCACCTGAAATAAAATTAAGACTGTTTTAGTTACAAGAGAGAGGGAGAGTCGGGCTCGCCTCCATGCCGCCGCCGGTCGCCAGGGTGACCGCCCGTGGCAACGCTCCACGTGTATCGGCCCCATTATATTTCTTTATAAAAATTACCTGTTACTAACGGAAAATATATAGTACCTATGTAATTTATGTGTGAAAAAATCTATTTTGTCGGTGCTTTTTAATGCGACAGTATTGGAATGTAGTTATGTTAGCTAGTGTTTGGTTTTTAAAAATTCCACCCTTACTTTATAGTCGCAAGTGAGCATTATTTATTTATAAGCAAAATAATAATACCTGTAGTACATTTTATAAACTGTAATATTAAGTCAATATTGATCATTATATTTTAATCTAAAAAGGGAAAATGTTTCTAAGTATTCACAATGAATTATTTATACTACTAGACTGATTTGTGTTCAATTTTATTTTTAGCCTTTAATAATATATATGATTATAATTTATAATTATAATCATCATCAACTACTAGTTGTGGTGTCTGGCCGTGGCCAGAGTTTAACTAAAAAACTATTTATGAAATTAATCTTTGTTAGTAACGAGGTTATATGTATAATGTGTAGGCGGCGTAGACAGGTCACCGTAGCAATGCTACGTACAATTGAGAATTTTTTTAATAAATTCTAAATATATCCGTTGTGACTAGTATAATAAATTTATTGTATGGTCGAATACCAGAATGGTACGTTTCATCATCATCATCATCATTTCAGCCTGTTTGAGTCCACTGCTGAACATAGGCCTCCCCCATAGATGGTACTTTTAATAGTTTTTAATACTTCAGTGACCTTTAGCGAGTTAAAAAGTAGATTCAAGGGATTGGTTGTCAGCATTGCGTTATGTTGATATGAGCCGCGATAGGTCATTTTAATTCAAGGCTATAATTATTTAATTGAAATAGCTTCGGACTCGCTTTTAATTTAACATACTCGATTAACCTAAGTTCGATTTCCGGTGCCGGTACCAATGAAATTGTTAATTTTGAGTGCTGACTTATCATGTGCTCAGCGGTGAAGGAAAACATTGTAAGGAAACTTGCGTATTTTATTTGAAAAAAATGTGAAGTCCACCAATCCGCCGAAATACATAGTGTATTGGGTTATAGAACCCAATACACTTTGTATACAGGAGGCCTTTGCCCAGCAGTGGGACATTTATAGTCAGTCGCTTTACGTTTTTATTGCGTCATGATCAGTTTTATCTCATACTTAATCAAAATTAACATCACATAGAATATATTCGTTTTAATTTTTACGGACGAACTGAGTACAATATAGAGACTTAATAAAAAAAAAGATTTCCAGCGATATGGAAGTTTCATATTAAATAGAATTCTTATGATATCAGAAGCAACGGAAAGTGACTATATTAACCATAATTGATACATAGTGCAGAGAGCAAAGCTTTTGCTAAAGTTTGCTTAACTTTGAAGCACGCATATTTTGTTCAGAAATGTATGCGGAATTCAGTAACATGTAAGTTCACTTTTAAACTTTGTCACTATACTATTTGAGTATATATTTCAAAATTACAATGTATTCCTTTTATTTACTACACTGGGCCGCAAAAATAATGGGTAAATATAATAATTGCGATATCTTTAAGTAGTTTAAATACATCGCTCGGATTAATGGTATGTTATAAATAGATAAATAATACTTATTACAAATCTAAATTAGAACAATAATATTGTTTTCTCTTTTTTTAATCCAGCTGTCATTTTAAAAGTTTTTTTAAGATGTATTTTTTATTAAAATTAAATAGTGTGCTAAACGCTTAAGTATTAATATGTCTAAAACAACATAGCGATTACGCTTTCACAAAGCATATTGAGGGAACCGTCACATTTATTTACTATTGTTACTATTATAGTTACTTTTGTGCAGTAGTTTGTTTCAAATGCTATATGTGATTATTCCACCTTCTCTTTTCATTCAGTTTACGAATTGATGATCCTTGAGAAACTTATTCAGATAAATAGAATACATTCTAACATTGTTAAAATATACAAATGGTAATAAAGATAACTTAAAACTTTAATTGTGGCAGAGCGGCAGTGGCTTCTGCTGTTGCAAAAATGGGCAAGGTCATCCGGGCGGCTTCACAGAAGACTTGTGTAAAGTGCTATTATTATATTTTTGCCTTTCGGCGGTTGTGTTGTCTGCATGGCCCTACTATTGTTCACCCCAGTGGTAGGAACATGCAGATGTCTTTGCTTTGGCTCGTAGAGAAGTACAATTACCTCACAGAATACAATTCTGCGTATGAACTGGTGAGTGAGGTAACCGGGACCCAGTTTATTAAAAAGTCGCAAAACATCTGCAACCTGTCAGAATTTCCTGACACTTCTTTTTTTCTCAAACAATGAAATCGATCTATAATATTTTTAAAATGGAAAATAATATTTAATTAAAATATACAGTAAAATTATCGATAAGTTTATAACGCCATTTTATATTCTAATTTATTAGCGATTCATGTCAAACAGTTTCAAGTAGTTAGAGTTCCATATAAGCTGTCGAACGGGTAATACAACTAGAAATGCGATGCCATTTAACCAAAAGGCTTTGAGAAAAAGTTGAACGTTTTCCGCACATTTGTAAATGACGTGTTTTATTTGCTTGTATTATGCATATGTTAAGTAATGAGCCGCTAGTCTACCTCACCTGTCGTGAGCGTAATTATATAACCTCACACAAATATTGTTGAGCGTATGTCGAATAAGCGAAGCTGTATACCTACAACGCACATCTTTTCCATAAACTGAATCGACGGTGCGTAAACCACGTATATCCAAGGGAATATTCTTGTACACTACTTGAGATAAGTCTTGTTTCTAGGTGAATAGTTTCCAGTCTGAAACCAATTACAATAAAACTCATTAAGTTTCAATGTACGGCATCAAATATCGTCTGTTTTTATATGTAAATTTAGTACGAAGACTAATTCAAGATTGTTTAATTTGTCAAAGAGATTGATTGAAAATGTGGAATAAGTTAAATATTCATTCCACGTTTTTTTTAGTCTTAAAAAGGATTCTATGTCAAGCACCGAAAAAAATTCTATTAATTCTTTAAAGACTTCTTTGTGAAAAGATAGATAGATCAGTTCTTCAAAAAGCTTTTATAATTTGATTATTTGGACGAATAACGTTAATTGAACTTACTATTTTACGTTTAATTAGTTATAAAAGAATAATAAGTTCTTAATAAAAAGTCGTTAGATTAAAGTGCCTTAGCGACGCATTAACGGGGATTAATAAGTCTTCAGTATGTATGTAGCACATTAATTTGTGTCGTTAATTATATCAAAATTTGACAACAATTGGATGATAAAAAATAGTAAAATAACAGCCTATACATGTCTCACTGCTGGGCAAAGGCCTCCTCTATACAGAGGGTATATCAGGGCATATTCCACCACGCGGTCCCACTGCGGATTGGCGGACTTCACATATCTTCGAAATATATTTTTTTTTGTTATTATTGCGAAAATATGCAGGTTTCCTCACGATGTTTTCCTTCACCGCGGAGCACGTGATAAGTCAGCAGTTAAAGTTAAAAACTTCATTGGTGCCGGCACCGGGGATCGAACTCAAGTTGATCGAGTATATTGAATTAAAGGCGAGCGTCCGGACACTGAGCTATCACGGCTGGCATTTGATGATAAAACACTTAAAATTTGTGTATTCGGGTTATAGCGCCACATGAAATTTAAAGTTATTACTTTAATTATTACTAATTTAATTTCTCAACAAGTATATTTATTGTAGACCGTCTGTTGTTGCATGGGTAAGCCAGCTTTACAGACCACACTGACGCTTGAGTTATATTTTTTGAAGGACTACTTCTTAAAAGTTGGTGGCTTCCAAACCGGTTCAAATATGGCCAATCATATCTATAAAACAATTTATCTATTTCATCACAATCATTTGATTTGATTTGATTGGACGCACAATCGAAAAATTATGAAACCAATATTTTTTTATAAATAATTTTGTTGAACCCGTAAGATTTAAATGAAGCAGGAAGTAGTCATTGAATTTGCGATCGCTACCAATTCCTCGTCAACCCTGAATTGACGGCGTTGATTTGAATTTCGTACAACAATAACAAGCGTCCTTCTATTCAGGAGTGGTAGGGTTGCCAGTTTAAAATGAATGTATTTGATAAAATACGGACAACCTCCTTTCATAATTACTATTCAATTTAAAGTAATAAGGTTAAAAGTATGTACAAGTTTTTGCTTTGCCGTCAGTTTTCTTAATGAGCGTGTTGGCTACCAAGCTGCTTGGCAAGGCAAAAAGAAAGATACTAAATACGACTTACAGAAGGAGTGCTTGGTGTCTTACTTTCATTAGAAGACTTCAGAATCTTTCTACGGTCTTAATCGACATATTAAAATAATTACTAAGATACTGCCTGCTATATCTCAAATATTTTTCACTTTTTTCTTTTTTTCTTTACACACATTTCCTTAAAATGTTGTGTAAATATGATGTTAGTTTTATAAGAATATATAGATATACAAAGATACTAATAAAAAAGTTTCATGGGTTTGCAAATTTAATTGGAATGTCTGTGATATTTATCATTTTCATTTCAAAATAAAATTGCGAATACCTCTCTGCTGATTGATTTTGCATCTTAAGCCTTGAATACAAAGCTCACAATTAAATTATTTTTTTGCCAGTGAATTTGTTTACA